AAGAAATAAAGTATCATACCCAGTTGACATCATTATTTATCTTTTAAAATAAATAAGAAAGAAAAAAAATTATACATTTCTCATCGTAATATAATAAGCATTGTTAACTATTATTCTCTCTTCAATTCTTTTTATTTATTTTCAATTATGAAGTTACTTTTTAAATTATATAAATAGAAATTGCGTAATAATGTGATCTTGAGTTGTACATTAATTAGGCAATAAAAGCTAATTTTAGTGATTGATAATTAACGTAATAGCATAATTCTCTAAGGGGTATTGCGTAACGTTATACATGATATAATTCGCATCAAACCCTGGAGATATTACTATATTGTTGATCTCAAATGACCTTATTTTAGAAGCGCCGTCTCAAACTTGTTTAAGTAGAACAGACAACAAATTTCTCCTTATTTCCACCAATAGAAAGTTAAAAAAAAAATTCCAATCGAGGATATTCGCTTGCAGGTGTTTGGTGTTTTGCATTGTGTGATTATTATTTGAATCACGAAGTTTTGTCTGAAAATTTTATGGCTTATTAATCAAATGTGTTTATTATGTATTAACATCCTTAAACTTAATTATAAAACTCGATAACAAAAGGATCATCTATTCAATAAACTTTCCAGCTTTACAAAATTATAAATATTATTTTAGAATACTTATTTTACATTTTATGTATCCATATTTCGCCTACCAATAATTATATTAAAATATTTTGTAATTGATAACTTCTTAACCTAATATTGACATTAAATTTCGCAACGTTCTTTCAAGTGTTTGGCAGTTTATTTTTATTAAGGAAACGATTAATTAATTTGCATGTTATTTCGACCGAGCATATTAAAAATTTCTTTTAAATAAATCATTGATCAGCATTATTAGATTAGAACATTGATGTTAAAATAATTAAATAAATGAAGAAGCGATGAAAAGTCGGAAATAATAAGTTGTCATTCTATGATCTTTTTTACTGTGATCAGTTATAACCTTGAGCGTGATCTGTCATCTATAACTTATAACTGATAATAACTTATAGTTATTTCCATGCACAATTATAATATACGAACAATGAATCAGCATATTTACTATTACTCGTATTTGAACTATAAATACAAATTTAAACTTTAACATTAAGAAATTAACTTCCTTCCTTTAAAATTATTAAAGGAACAGTGATAACATGAAAATTTCGCAATGCAACTTTAATTTTTCTTATGAAAATCTGTATATTTTGTATTTTGTTTTTATGAAAATATTTTGATAAAGTTAATTACTAAATTAAAATGAGGATTATAATATTTTAATTATGTCTATATTTGCAAATATATCGATTTTAACTTGAGAAGGATCGATGTTTAAAATATTTAAAGAACTGATCGATCCGATTTCGCATTTCTTAAAATTCATTCATTTAATTTTCTTATAATTGTTTGTTTCAACTGTTTTCATTATCTAAACGAAAATTAAAACTGTTTTTTTTTAAATTAAAACAATTTATTTTTGCTTATTTATTAAAAAAAACTATTTCAGATCGATAAAATTTAACACAGTCTCATATTACACATGAATTAAAATTAGTATTATCCTAAAAAAAAAATTTAAAAATCTCACTTGTAAGCAATTTATCTACACTAAAATGTTAATTGAATCTTTTTATTACTTTCTTGAATAAGAACTTTCATCATCTGCAAACCGAGGTGTTTCCCGTTGCATAATTCAGATCCGGGTGCTAATATGAATTCAAATTAATGGTTGATATTCATTCAAAAATAATCGACACGGATTTCCCCCAAATCCCACCCAAATTATCAAGTACTATTTGATGTTACACCCTCAAGTGAAGGTTTCAATGTTTTCAAATTATCTAAACTGAGTTTCGATGGTTTGGAGGCCACGGCTGTTTATTCTCTAAGCAACAGAAATAACTTTAAAAAATTTCCCTTTTTTCATGCCTTCATTTGATATATTTATGTAAGTAGTTGCTAATTATTCTACAAGCGCTGTTACTTATAAAAGAATGAAAAGCCTTCGAAAGTACTAAAACTGGCTTCGAATGTTTCATGTCAAAATAATATATTTTTTCTTTTTTTAATTCACAATTTTATTAATAAAGCGTTAATTTTCTAAAGTTTAGTAAATTGTAATATCATTTTCAATATAATACTGTATTCATTATATTTTAAAATAAATTTTATGCTGTAATGAAAAATCATTCTTCGAGATGTTCTTCGAGGTATTCAATATTGATTTTTATCTAGTTTTTCTCTAATTATAACTAATATATATTTTAAAATTATATATATACATATTCCAAGCACTAAGAAATTTTAACCTTACTATATTAATGATATATCCTAGATTATCCAATTACTTAAAGGAAGTTTGTGATAAAGTTATGCTGAAAATGATTAGAAAGCATACCTATTTGTTTTCATTTGTTTTGAAAGAATCTATTTGTTTTTTAAAATAAGTATTCTGAGAAAAATTGCATAAAAACAGAATATACTATTGCATTTGACAAGGAATTATAACATTAAGTAAACTATTCGCTTTATTTTGTAGTTAAAATTTTTATACTCCTCCTGTTGTTTTGCAATTTTTAACTAGTTCTCTTACTTGGAGAAAAAATGCCACGGGATGCTAAGCTTTCAGATAAGAAAAACGGTAAAATTGAAGCATTACACAAAAATGAAAAGAGCAGTTGCGTAATCACCCGAAAATCAGGTCCACCTATGTTATCAATATCTGTGTTATCAATAATTACTTTAAAAATCCATCAGAATAGGGCTCAAAGAAAAGTACTGGACGCAAAAAGAAAATAGACAAATGCAAACATTGTGCGCAAAGCACCAACTCTTCTAAGTCTTTCGGTGAACTCCGGTTGGAAGTCCACCGCGAAGCAATGATGAGAAACGTCTTGAATGACAATTTAAGGATCGTTTGGAAAAAAAACGAAGTACCAGTCATTACTGCAGCCAAGACAAGCCAAGAATTTGGACGATAACACAAGGAAACAGACTGGACAAACGTGAGTCTTTTTAGGGATTGTTATACTGCAGGTATGTATAATACTTAAATAATTGTGCAATTGGAGCGATAAAAACAAGTGAAACCTAGGAGCCGAATGGATTCAAGTCATATTGGCAGGACATACGAAAGGAACCACGTTACTTTTTCCGAAAGAAACTTTGGAAGTGGCAATCTGACGGTTCGAAAATCTTCATTGCTCGGGGGAAAACTCCGGCTGGCATTTGTGGCAAGTAGAATGAAAAATTAAAGTCTATCAGGAAGTGATGTAAGGTCGTTAATCCCTTTTCTAGATAATAATGATAATATTTCACTGACATTCATACACGATAAAGCATCCATCCACACAAGTGCCAGCACAGGAAACTGGCTGGAAGGTCTAAACATCCCAGTTATGCAACATCTACCCCAATCTCAGGATTTCACTTGGATAGAAAATGTGTGGGACATCCTGGTTTTTTCACATTTATGCGGAAAATCGTCAGTACAGACTTAAGAAATATTGGATAACTTCATCAAAAGTATGCAAACCTCATTTTATAGTTAAATCATGTAATGGAGATAGAATTTATTTTATTTTTTTGGTCAACTTTTGTTGAAAATACAATTATTTTCTTTGAGATAACTTCTTGGTAAATAAAAGTGAAGTAGCTAACATTATGCAAGTTTTCGCGAGAGAAACACTCAATAAAATGGGAAAAATATAAGGTCTATTTTATTATAATTTCCTTCGTAACTTTTGTAAGGAACACCTTTCTTTTCAGTTACTTGGATAAGCTGAGATGTCATTAATGTAGTGAGGTTATGACTTTTTGGAGTACTTTATTAAGATTCATAATTATATATTTTTAAATTTTATCATGTTTAGTAATCTAAAAAGAAAATGAAAGCAAATTACTGTTTAAAATTGTCATATTGTGTAATATTGAGTTATCCTTCACCCAATAATTCAGTAAATAAGTTTATTTTCAAAATAAATTACCTGACGAATTTTTAAATATAAAAAAAAAATTGAAGAATTAGAAGTAAAACACGGAAAAAAATATATAACTTGCATATCTTTAAATTTACTTTCTGGAAGTTTTGTTTATACTCATTAAAAATAATTTAAACATGTAATTTAGTTTCATGTTTTCTCTAGTTATCAAATTTCTTTGGAATGTTTTTAGATAAACAAATTCATTAAAAAGCATTCTAACTCGGGTCATATCTAAAAAAATAGAGACCAGAAAGAAAATGCTTTCGTGTTTTTTTTCGTTACATCATACATATTATAAGATGTCAACTGTTAAGTTTATAAACCGTGTATTATGATCCCGTAAATAGGAAAAATTTTACACACTACTCCGTTGGAAGAGAAAAAAACTTCACCGCACTACAACTGACAAGTAAGCGGAAGTTAATGGAAATGCGATAAGCAACCTTGAAGATTGGTTTAAATGACCTTGGATACGCGAATAAATTTAACTTATAAAATTTGTAACACTTATGGATGCTTTCATTTTACGATCTTATTTTCGTTTAACTGTAAAAATTTGTCTATAAATTTCAAGGTCGAACAGAGGTCATCAACCAGGAAGTGACCCATATAATGCAAACATGATAGTTTCGCTGTTATATGAATCTTCATTAAATAGGATCATGTGCTAGTAAGAATTTTAAAATCAGAATTAGATAAAAATGTGCTAAATTTTAAAATTAAAACGTGGATCACATGATAAATTCAAGTGGGTGGTAAAAGAATCGCAATAAAACTGTAAATGAAAGCAAGCAGTATATTAAATTACCGAAACCGTTTAAATTTCTGATTATTGGATGAAATAACATCTTTATAAACGTCTGTAAATATTGACACAAGTATCTGTAAAAAAATTTTTTTGTTTTAAACCGTAATTGTTCTAAACGTTTTCGAACGAATTGTATGTAAAAAATATGATTTGTGAGCATAAAACACTAAAAAGATAATACTATAATTTAAGTGTTTCGATATTTTATTATTTTTCTTTTGTTTTTTTACAATTTATTAACAATAAAGGAACGCGCTGAGCTTAAAACTTCACTTTGGAAGTTTGAATTTAACAGGGCGAAGAATGTCAAGTATACTTGAAAAGGGTTATCCGTCACCCAATGACTATTTGTTTTAATATTATATATATCTTTTTTTTTCACTAATAAACAGTTTGTTGCATACAGGAATGTTTCATCGTTCACGAAAAAATATATGTATAGAAAAAAACTAATATCATTCAAACGTTCATGCTCGGGGCATTTCGTTCCCGATATAATTGGAACAGAGGTTCATACATAATATCGTCATACCTGTCTTTCTGATCTCTTTGGCAGCTAACTTGCTAATTTTTTAAAGGAAAAGCAATGACAAGCAAGGTACAATTAGATATGCAGAACCCTTACACTCCGATTCTCGCAAAAAATAAACTAAAAACACATGTTTCATGCATTTCTGATTAAATTACTTACATTACAATACAAAATAGACTTGAGTGGATTAAATGTTTGGATACAAACTATACAAGAAACACCAGAATGCATGAACACGCATAAGTATTTTTGGAAAGAACTGATGATTTTTTTTTGTTTTTGTTTTTTCTGCCTCGTTAGCACTTAGAACACATCTCCTCTAGTTACAAATCTTAAAAGAAAAAAAGTACTCCTTGCCGTGTTCCTGTAGCTTGGTCCAGGCATTGATATGAATCCATTAAAAATCGAGTTTTAATCGAGAAGACACTGAAGAAATATTAAGATCGGTTAAACATAAACAAGTGCAACGTCGTAGCACAGTCTTGTCTCGAGTTGCGTTGTCGAAGAACCAAGAAACCCTTACAATGACAGTCAAACGGAACCCATCACCCGACGACACGATTTGGCCATCACGCGCACTGCATCCATCCACATGGGCAGGGAGTGAATCCGGAAGGCTGGGCTGATAAGTATGGTGTGTAGAAGTAATTTGCGCCGCCGAAAAGCAGATGCGGCTGGTGTCCTACTGTCGTCACATCGTACTGCTGTAATTGATGATGTTTGGCAAACAGCGACTGTTGTTCTTCGAAATACACTTGACACGCAAGTTCGTCGATCAGGCAGAGCGATTGTCTGCGCTCGTGGCCCATCAAACACACAGTACTTTCGTCCACAACACGGTGTAGAATCATCAAGTATTCATATTTACTGTGCTCGTCTCCGATGAAGTGATTAGCTAGGTAACTTTCCAATTTTGCTCTTTGCTGATTGATATCGCTAAAGTCGATGAAAAAACGCGAACACATATACCTTTCCAATGTTTTGATCTCCTCGGGACGAGCTGGTTTATAATCACGCACTAACAAGTTGCAATACTTTAACAATCCGCCGCCTCGGATTTCTTCTGGATTTCGGGTGGCGATCAATTTTTTGTGCAAATGGTACAATGCTTCCTGAAAGTCGCCGTAAACGCTTTCACCGACGACAGTGGGGTAAAAATTTTCGTTCATCGGCATTTCCGAGCATTCGTAAAATAAAAGAAGCGAATCCAGTATGATTTGGAACGAATCCACGCTAAATTCGAATTGTCTTCTCATAATATCAACGAATTTCAATTCTACGTTACGTCCTCGATTGTTGCTGAGAGAGATCAAACTCCAGCGATCACCGTTGGTCACTTTGACCATCTTATGCACGTAAGCCTCTTTCAGACTGCACGTACTGATCCTCTTCTTGTTAACACCGTCTGGCAAAAAATCAAGCAGAGAATCCAAAACTGCGGATTTAATTTTTTCGAAGTTACGTTGCGTAGAAAGGTCGACAGCAAATATGAGATCGAGATCGTTGTAGGGCGAACTGTCAGACGCTAAGGAATGACTCGCTGCACCGCCGTTTAGACGAATGTCTTTCACTGTCACACAATCTTTCTCCAATTTGCCTCTGACAACTTGTACTAGATCCTTTAACTTAATTTCTAGTGTTGGAAAGTTGCCGCGGCCATGGATCGGAACTACTTCGTCCATTACTTGATCGAGTCTTTTCACTTGTTCGTAGCTGAGCACAGCGAATCTCTGCCCGTCACCCGTACTGGTGTCGAAGGTCGCCATGTTCAGTCGCTGACGGAGTTGTTCAGGTTCGATGTCCAGCTTGCCGGACTATGAGGAGAAAGAATACAAAAATCAGTGAATTCCTACTTGTACACAGCCGTACGCTGTTATGACACCCGACTGGCACAGCTGTACACCTATAGCTGCCGGGCCTCGCACCCTAGCTAGTATCCTTCCGCACTAGCCTGTTTGCGTTCTCTGGTGGGTAGAAAGTGGTCGTCTCGCAGCAACTGGAATGGTGTTGAAGCGAGCGCGCACACTTCGTGAGTGGTTAGCCAGACCTATTTTCTTCCATAAGCACACGGATACGGCCTAGATAGGAGTCATTCGGCCGGCGCAGTTGCCTAGCAACATTTCTGACGTCAATTGGGGAAGTAACAAGTGCAGGCAGTGACTGAAAGCAGTTCGTCGCTTTCATTTCGTCCTCGGTCACCAGCCACTTCATTAGGTAGGGCTTACCTGCATTTGTAACTACCGAATATGGCCGACGTGTTTTAAATTCTAACATTTCCATAAACTAACATAACTTTGCAGTATGTATAGCACGCATAGTGTTTAGTATAAATTTTGCAAGTTGTATTTAATAAGGATATTTTATTTATAAAATGTTTCAATTGTCACGCTTATAAATTCAAAATTCAGACTTATAAACGCTTTATCGCCGAAATTCTCTAAGCACAACATTCTTTGGCACCGCTAGGCTATGCGGCGTGATGCGCGCTTATCTTCTGAGGCTAGTCACGTAACTTCTCTAGAGTGCGCTGCGTTCAAGCTGTCAACGCTTCGACTAGTGACGTAGGTGAAACGTAAAAAGAAAAGAACGTTAGAAGTCCATTAGTCACTCTTGGTTGCTCACACTAGCGAGTCTGTTTTCCGTATTATACTAACTCAAAGCGAATGTGAAGATAAAGTGAGTACCGTGCGGGCGTTGCAAACACATCTGACATCAGTACGTCTTATTGTTTCGTATATTGCAACGTAAAAAATAAAAAAAATTCTAATTTTTATGCATTTTTCTTTATTTCATAAATATTAAAATAGTTACGATCTACAATTAAACATTGTATTTATTAATGTTTTATGCTAACTTTTTTAATCACAGACATGACGTAATGATGGCCGGATATGTTTGCAGTTAAGATTTAGGCTATTCGCAGGTCATTTCGAAATAATATTTTTCATTTGTTTTATGGAAATATATCAGCTTTATTCTATAAGAGAATGAGAATAAAATGCAATCACCATAATCACATTAATAAGTTATATAGATGTATATTAAACTAGCTCGTCTATTTATCATTTTAATTTCAAATTATATAATCCATATTGGCCATGAAATGCTAAACATATCGATTTTTCTATCAAAAGGAAAAGAACAGTTAAGTCGACTTAAAATTTTTCTAAGATTATGTACATAAATTAGTGTCCTAAAATTACATAACAGATGGCGCTAAGTTGTGATACTCTAAGGTCGCTGAACTGGAGTAAATGGTGGAACCGAAATTAATATTTGAAAATCTTAAATCTTTACTAATAGGAAGTGCAGTATTATATTTCAAATTTTAATTGCGGGGTGTATTGGCATTTAAACTTAAGTTTCGCTACTTTTCACCTCTCGATGACCGATTTTAAATCTAAAACGAACGTTCATTATAATAAGTATTCGTCCCGAATATCAAAAAGGAAAGTTGATGTAACTTATTTGCAAACTAAAAATCTTACTACACTTTAAGAAGCAATTGTTCGCAGTTACAGATTCCGTTCCACTCGTTCAGTTGCAACCCCATTTTAAAATGTTAATTTCTAGACCATTCGGAATCAGCAAAGTTAATACGGTCGACCCATCTCTAGCCGCTTTAATAAACGAAAGTATGTATAATTAGTTGCAATAATACGGAAAACAAACAGGCGAGTATCGTTACATAAATGTCCTAATGGCTATGACGTCACTGGCGCCAGTAAGTCCCGTACCATCTACCCGGCGAATATGGACGCTGATAGAGAACGAAGACGGAACATTCCAGAACTATATATAGCCGGTGAGCACAACACATCAGCTTTTGACTCCGTATTGGGAAGAGAACACGAGATCAATACGGAAAGAATTAGTCTTACTAATTAATTTTTTTCTTTTTTCTTAAAAATTACGCTTAAATATTACATTCGAATGTGTCTTGCACGTTGTTGCGTAAATTAATAAAGTTAGCATGGCACTTTTTTGTATATATTAAAGCGCTTATTCTTAGAAATCGATTCAGTTTTTTCCTTTCTTTTTTTTTTATTAAACAGGAAGGTTTATGCTATGTAGCGGTTCAGTCAGAAGTGTGCAGTGATATGGAAATCATCTGGTAGACTCTTATCCAATCAGACGACCTTGATATTTTTCTACACCCTACTTAGAATCACCTTTAACCCACTTAACTCGCAAGGTTCATTATCGTGCCCCACACGACGTTAATGTGTCAGCCGGGTTCTCATATATATTTATTCAAATTTTTAAATTAATTAGTTAAATAATAAGAGCAACAATTTAACAAAAATTATTAAAATTTAGTACGTAATCATCTAAATATTCTAAACTTTTAAATTGTTAAGATTCTAATTACGCTATGGCACGGAAGACAAATTCTACGGCCCGAATCTTTCGAGTGAATAAAAGTGGTTAATGTTAGTTCTTATCCAATGTAACTTTGCACACACGAGGTTGGAACATTAAGAGCCAGGTATCCAATTGCAAAGGCAAAATCGATGGTATTTATATTAAAGAAACGAATCGATCGCCTAATACTGATCTTATACCTTTTCCTACTGTTCTAGTCTAAACAACACTCATTTAACGCAAATAGAATCTTAACAATTTTCATTCTTAAATAATGCAAAATAAGAAATATGTTACTTCTTTTAAAGTACTTATGTGTTAAATAATAATAATTTAAATGCGAAACAAAATAAAATACACTTTAATGTGTTAAAGTAAAAAGATAGAAGTTATTTTCTGCATGGTATCGTCTTTATCAGTACAATCAAGGAAATGGAATTTTTATTAATGTGAAATATCACCTACCTGCATGAAGGGTAATTCTTTGATATTCGATACCATCTTAACAAACTTTGGATTAGCGGAGTGTGAAACGGCACTCAACTCACACAAAAAAATAAATTTTCACTCGAAAAAATCCCAATGAGTTAAGATTAGAAATGATTATTTCCAACTGCGAAATTAAACCACCCTGCACTAACAATACTGCAGAAGCAGTGGCTGATGTCGCTGTAGTGCAGTGAATTTCCTACTCGGTGACGTCCCGCATGCGTCGTACGAGACCTACCCAATCAGGCAAGGGTGTCGAGTCTGTGCATCTCTGTTGTCATGACAACCGTCCTCGTGACGTCACCCTCCTTCTCCTACCTTGTTAAAGACGTCAGTTAGCTGCAGTGTGTTAAAGAAAGCAAAGAATTTTTTTGAAACCGTATCGTACCTAGGATAGTCCAAACTAGTATCTAACTACGAAAATGTATTTTAAATTGAGGATTCGACGTTTTGTGCAATAAACTTTTATGGGTCTCTTCTAAAGGTAGGCCCTTAGGATGTACACTGTCGCCTAAAAGAAAGTTTTTAAAAGGAAAAATTACTATTACTTTTACAATTCGACGATCAAAATTTGGATTTCAATTCCAGTTTCGTAAATTTAAGGCTATACATTGTTTATGTGAATATTAGATGTATTTATCCCATGCAACTTAATGTACAGCTGTAGAATATTTATAGGATGATAATACAGCTGTAATATTCAACCCTGAAAAATATCAAATAATAGAAGAGAATGACAATGCATTTTCTCTTATCGAAATGTCTAGCAGATTAAATAGATAATAATTCTTCTTAGCTGACTTGTGAATTGTATAAACTAATTAAATGATTCTCAAAGTATCGAATTATTTAAATATAAAATAATTTATTCTATATGTATATATATATATAATCTNAAGAGTTAAAAATATTTTTAAAATACTAAAAATTATTAGAATATTGTTTTAATCAGTAGCAGATTAGGATATTTCGGAGTCCGTAGACACAGAAGATTGGGCCCTCTATACAATTTTACATCATAAACTAATACGTCTAATTGAGGCTATAGAATTATTTATATACTATAATATACAATTTTAATGGTAAAATTGTTTTATTATTATTATTTTTTTCCAATTTCTAGGGCCTCCGAAACCCTGGGCCCTAATCACGTGCCTCACGGTTTAGTAGGTAATTCGGAACTAGTTTTAATAACATTTTATTTTTCTAATCAAAATCAATAAACGAAAAAAATACTAAATAATTAAATTTTGACACAAAAATGGGATTTAAAATTATATTTAATATACAATAAATGATTTTAAAACAAAAAATTATTTTTTAGTAAAATCTTTAAATAAAAAGTTTAAGTAACGACAATTTAATTAAAAAAGAGGGGGGAATATATGAAATATATATCTGTAGTTTCATTATAGCTCTAATTATATAGAAGTATATAATTAGAGCTATAATGAAACTACAGATATATATTAAATATATATCTGTAGTTTCATTATAGCTCTAATTATATAGAAGTATATTTATAACGTAAGCAAGATAAGGCAGAATATTCTAGAAAACAAGATTGTATTTAACTGCTCTTCTACCTGTTTAAGTATTCTAAATCCTAAAATGATTTAAAAACAGCTAAAGAATAATCCTGTAAGTCATTTTATATAATTTTATGCCAACTTGAAGTACAATAAAGATTTTCTTAACAATATTCAAAGTGCCAGGTGCATGTTATATCAATTTTCATTCCCATCTGGACTGGTGATTCAACCCACACAGTTATATTTACAGTAATGCAGAAACCGCCTACAACTAAATAAATATTTCCATCTTTTGATTATCTTACTAAGACTTTGAACTTCCATAACATCTTCAAAATTAAATTATTATGCTTATAATTATTATAATTATATCAAAATAATCTTTAGTGTTATTTGTAGATTCATAATTTCTAGAATTTTTAATGAATTCGAACGGATCATAAATGATTAATTATTATAGATAATTGACCGTTAAATCGGATTTTTGAAATACATTTTTAGTCTTTTGTTATAAATAAATTGTTTCTATTGTTTTCTAATTAATTCCTTTATTATTTGAGACAATTTAATAATAATTTGAATGATAATGTTCGATAACTGGTTTAAATTTCCATTTGATTATAATTTTGTATCTTAAATCTATATGTATATTGTAACTATTATGTAAATTAGCTGCTATTCTTCTAAGATAAATAGTGAATATTCTCATTGTTCTTATTATAACATTCGCATAATTCTAAGAGAATATTTAAAATGTGTTTTATACATTTAAAAATATATTAAATATTTTTAAAATTGTGCCATATCAAAAATTAATTTAATTTTTATTGTATTAACAGTTTAAATCGTTAATTTTTATTAAATTATTTTCACATTTCAATTATTCATATAAAATATTTAAACTAATATAATTTAATCACTTTTTTAACTACACATTTTAAATTAGGCTACTTTACAGTGAAAATCTTTAAAGGAAATTTTAGAAAGGAAATAACCAATGGTATGTTGATGACTTTTCTTTGAATCCCTGTGACTAAAACTATCGAGAGGGAAAGATAGGGATTTTTCCCCGGATCCGGAGAAAACTCAAAAGACCCGTAGTGGTACCAATCTCTAGAAATTCTTATTATTTTTACTAACAAAAATAAAATCTTTATTTCTTTATTTAAAAAAGTAGTCTTAAACATTCTGTGTATTTCATTTGTAAAAATAACAAAAGGGCCCGCTAAAAAACAAAGGGATCAAGCTCTACCCCCAAATAAGCTCTCTATATGAGATCCTATCTTGACAAAACAACAAAACAATATTTTAGATTCCCTTCTAAGTATATCAATCGTTTTAACTGAAGATGTATAATACTGTTTCTACTTCCATATATCTGTTTAAAAAAGAAAGTTTGTCTTCGGGAGAAAAATAAATTTAAACAATGAAACAAAAAGTATTTGTTAGTAAAGTGTGAAAAATTTGAATTGCTTTGAGCTACTTTTAGAAAAATTATGTTTATTTCATTTTGAAATAAGTAAATTTTATCCTTAGGCTATATAATTTAATTATAGAATAGTAATAATTGCTAGAAACGTTATGGTTACATTCTGTATAAAATGTAAAATTCGTTTTACGTGTATGAAAAATAATGCAATTTAAATAAAACTTTCACAGAATTGTAATTTATATAATCGAAGAACATTTAATTTTTAAATCGAAACTTTATACAAAGTGAAATTTAATATTTCTGAGAATTTTATCGATATTAAATTTTAATCGACTTTTTTTTTTCTCATTGTCAAACCCTTAGTTGAGAATTAAATCAACTCATAAGCAATTATTTTCTCATTCTTGATCAAATGTTTTAGTTGTTAGTATTTAACCAATTATAAAACTTGATAAATTAACTAATGATAATATTACTCATTTAACTTTAATTATATAACATTAAAGTTAAACGACTTTCAAGAATCTCCTGTTTTACAGGTTTATAAAAAAAAGTTAATCTCGAATAAATGTAGATGAACAGGAAGAACTATTCATATTATAAAACTGTTTTTCTTTAACTCAAAATACTGATTTTCTATTTTTAAAATTACTTTTAGTGACAACGTTCTAGTTTATAATCATACAAAACACAATGACTATATTCGTATATTGTTTTATTTCTTTAAAAAGCTTTAAGGCATAGATTTTTTCGACGTCAAGACAATTTTAAATTGTAAAAAAATCCAAGTTTTATTTGATTAAAACTTTCAAATTATATTAAAAATAAACTTTAATTTTCAAAATTTTTCATTAATTATGCACANAAATTAAAAATAGTTAACAACACTTTAAAAAAATGCAAGATTCGTTTATTTTGAATATACAAACTATTAATCACAACCTGAGTATTATGCTGTAAAGAGAGAAAAAAAATTGATAGGCCACTGTATAATTGCGAATCCTTTTAAAAAGTTCCTAAGAAAAGTACCATCTGTATGCCACTAATGCATTATTCGGTCATTAATTTAGGAAAATTATATTTTGTAGTTCACGAAAAATATTCTTTATCCGTTCTATTCTATATGGAGAATCAAACAAGATGAATGATAAACTAGTAGAATTCCTCTTCCTAAAATCAATAAAAAAATAATCTTTCAAAATTAAATTTTTTGCTGATTTTTTCCCTATCTAATAGTGATATTTTATAATTTAGAAAAAAGTTGCAAGTTTTTGTTAGAAATTTTCCAATTTCCGGTCAGCCCTTTCGATGAAACGGTACTTTTATTTTTTTAAATACTTTGATTTAAATATTTCTTTTTAAAATCTCATAAATAAAAACTGCATTAGTATGTAAGTAATTTTAAAATTTCCTAAAAGAAAAATGATTACAGAATCATAGACACTTTCGTAAATGTAAGCTCTATTATTTAAATTGAGACTATTTCAAAATGTATTTTAAGATTTAAATTATAATGTCAGCTAATTATCCTCTAGACTAACGCTTTAAATCACTCTTATTTAATTCTTAAATTACTTTACAGTAAATTTAAACCAAATTGGTTGTTAGATCTAGATTGTCTCTAAAATCAAAGTTATTTGTCTCGTTATCTCTTGTTTGTTGTTCATATAAAAATAAAGTAATCAATTGCTACATTAGGACGATATCTCTGAAGTTATTCACCCATGAAGTTATTCTGGTTTTATTTTCATCGATAGCTTTCGTAACTTTGCACAGGATCACATTTACTTCTGTAAGAAATTCCAATAAACTGCCTTTTTCTAAAAAACCAGCAAGTTGCAGACCGTTTTAATTCTCTTCATGAATTTACTGGTTTGTTCATTTGATTGATTAATTTCACAAAAATAAAAAATAAGAAAAAAATATATTATATATATATATATATATATTGAAGGATTTAAAGAATGATTAATGTGTATACTACTATATTTATTGATGTAAAAAATTCCTATACGTATCAATAATAAAAACGGCGATAATCTACGTTATCCATTGAGGAAAGTATTAACATCATAAATTATCCTGAAAAATAATCTAAATATAAAGAATTTGATGATTCTTTCTGTGTCTGTCTATATCGATCTATCTGACAATAAAATGTTATAAGAGAGTACGTGTAATAAAGGTACAAACAGACAGATTGATTTTTGACGTCTGTTTATACCTTTATATTGAACAACTCAATATTTCTTTATGATATAGATCAGTTGTCAAAAGTATTTTTCTTGTT